ATGATAAAGAAATTATCATCCTTTGGCAACATTCATCTCTCGAGGGGGTGTCTAAAAACTCATTTTCATTCCTTGGCTTTTGACTCAGCATGAGACAGCATTTGTTTTATTGCTTTTTTATTGCTTTTTATTATATTTTAAAAGAACTTTTTATTTTTGTTTTATGTGAGTATGTACAGCACTTTGTGTCAGCTTTGGTTGTTTTTAAAGTGATCTATAAATAAAGTTGAGATGAGTTGAGTCTAACTCAGTGTTACGGTGTGTTTGACCCTAAATTAATTTTACGCCGGAATATCCCTTTAAAAAAAGACAAAACAATATATATATATATTAGTTTTTAAGACTACTGCCATTAATCAGAGCCAAAAATTGCAGTTGATGTGGATATAGTTGATGTGGAGATCTACTCATCATGTGTCATAGAAATTTCTTGTGAAGGGAGGGGTGAGGGGGTGTTTGTATTTGGACAAACACATGCAAGCAAAAAATATAACAATGCCTCTATTCTATTCAAATGTCCAAAGCCATAACTGTGAGTTATTTATCATATCACATGTGGGTTTTCCACTTTAACACTTAAACTTTTTTTTTATCTGAAAAAAAGACTAAAAGTATATCTATCCACAACCAACTGCTCATACCTGTGTTGAAGAGGTGAACCTCGTAATACCACAATGTCCCAAATTCTTTTTTTTTTCCATAATTTCCCTTTATTCTATTTCATCACACACAAAGTGAAATATTTGAGGAGACATTTTTTGGTTTGGATCATGATGATTACAGCTTACAATCACAAAAAAATCCACTATCTCAAAATGTTAGAATATCGTGGAAAAGTCCAGTTTCTTCAGTCCTGAGGTTCTGATTTGATCAACTCTATTAACTCTGAACCTTTACAAAGATTTACTGAGCCTATAACCTCTCACTTTGGTTAAGTACACACATCCACAATAATGGGGAAGTCTGCTGCCTTGACAGTTCTCCAGTAGACCATCGTTGGCACCCTGCGCACACGAAGGGTAGGCCACAGAAGGTCATTGCTAAAAGGCTGGCTGTTCATGGAGTGCTGTATGGAAGCAGATGAATGGAAAGTTGACTGGATGGGAAAAGTGTGGAGGAAAAATAGGCAAGCAACAGGGGTGACTGTAGTCTTTAGAGGATTGCCAAAAAAACCCGATTCAAGAACTTAAGGGAGCTTCACAAGCAGTGGACTGAGGCCGGAGTCAGAGCAGCAGGAACCACCACACACATACAAGTTCTAGAAATGAGCTACATGTGTTGTGTTCCTGCTGTTAAGACAATCCTGAACCAGAGACAACATCAAAAGAATCTCAGCTGGGCAACAAAGAAAAATGTAGTCTACAGTCCTATTTTCAAGTTTTACTCAATGACTTTTTCTGATTTTTTGAGCTGCACCTGTATATTTTTCATCTTTTATTATGGCCAGCCTAACGTCAGCAGAGGCCCTGGACTAAAATGAAGCACCAGAACCCCTCTGCCCCTCTTTTTGTTTGCAACACATATCTTACTATAAGATAGTGAGGCATAAAGAAATGCAATCAGGTTCTTCACTGGGTAAAGTATGGTTACATACCATTTTTAGGTGATTAAACCATGTAAACAACCTTTATGGAAATAATGATCTCAGAGGTAAAGAGCTCTCTCTACAGACAATGTCCAACATGAGGTGTATGTCCTACCCTTAGGCTCAGTCATGTAGGTTGATAGGTTGTCTTTTAAACAATGTAAAATTTCCATTTGTGGCCTGATATAAATATCTTAAACTTACAGTTACTGAGAGGGTTTCTAAAAAGAGACCACAGCATTACAGCATTCACAGTATTCAAATTTGAAGAGAAGACAAATAAACTATCCTTAGACTGCCTTGAGATAGTTTCATTTCCACCTCTGACCTTCTAGGTGAGGGGAACTCTGTTGTAGGGTGTTATCAACCATGTTGGCAGTTATAAAAGTTTCAATGTGACTTACCTTCATTGTTGTTTAACAGGATTCACAGTAACTACTCATAAACGTATCTTGTCACTTTCTTAAAACAGCCTGCTGTGCCCTTAATACTGCCCCTAAAACTATTATTATTGGACACAATCCAAAGTAATCTGAGATTCACCCTCCTCCACTCTACAGGAGTGAAAATATCTTCCCCAGTCTAACAAACAGCCTGTCTTTTAAAAAGAGGTCAATCACAAGAATACTTTTTACTATTATTTCTTGACCATATCATTGAAGAGCTCACTGGAGATAAAAGCAGAAATGTGACTGAGAGAATAGACTCAGACTTGATTTATTCTTGGAAAAAGAGAAAGAGAAAATGTGGGCGGCAATTCTTAAAACATTTCTCTTGAGTTTTGAATTCTGCAGAATGATGGGAACTGTTTTGTTTACGGGGATGTAGCCGTGATTTCAGGGCCTTTTACTCCCACACACCGCTCCCTTATTCCTGCTCGTCACCTTAGCAATCAGGAGAAAGCGTGTCATTGTAAGTGAATGTACGGGGGATTTTCTATCTTGCCATGTGGTTTTAATCTTTTTTAATAATGGAAGTCAAAATTTTGATACTTGGTTCATCCATGAAGTTTGAACAAATATTTCACTCGTTAAGCTTTCATAACAATAAGTGACACTTCTATACCTTAAAGACAGACAGTTTGCAAGGGACAAGAATTACCAAATAAGGTTTTTCAGGATTTATGAATATGTATGGTACACTTTCGGGGCTAGTATCATTAATACTTTATATCTGAACCCTAAATACTTTTTCTTTCTTATTTTCCCATTTTTTTGGCAGCAGATTTGAATTTAGTGAACTGCCTCTAAAGGGACTAAATGTTTATTTCCTCTTTTACAGTATCACATGCCTTCCTTATGTCAAACATTTTTAGAAATCTTTGCTGTTATTTCATATAAATTCCACAAATGCTTCTTTTTGCCTCCTACGAAGCCTCTAAAAACAGGCTCAACAGAAACAGTAGGAGTGAGTCAAGGTCACTGTCTTAGTACTTTTAGGAAACTTCTCAAGGATGCACATGGAGAATCCCGGGAATTCCTTTTATTAGTCATGAATTTACCCTGAGTCTGTGACTAAATCCAGGAGTCTTACAAGTAAGTAAGTATTTTGGCAAGTATTTTGGATTCCGTTGGCCTCCTGCTTGTTCTCTTATACTTTCATTTTTGCAAACCAGATTCAATAGAGGCTGTATCACAAGGGTGTGTCTGCAACTGGGAGAGGGTGTTGGCTCAGATGTGTATTTTAAAAAATCTTGTCAGATATGAAGTCGTGAGTTAAAATAAGAAACATACAGGCTTAATTTTAACTCACTTTTCTTGAATTGGAGAAAGTATTAAAACATTGAAATCTGAAAAAAAAAAAAAAAACTAATAGAAGTATTGAAAAGTCAGTGTAGTACAAGGAGTTTTTATTAATATTGGGAGGGAAGAAAGAAACACTGAAACTAACCTGAAATTTTGTGATTACAACAGTTTTATAGCAATTTATCAGTAAATGAAAAGAGAGCATAACTTCCAGATGTGTCCTTTAACATAATGCCATAACAACAATGTCAAACAATTAATTTTTAAAACCCTAATTAATCACTGAATATAAATAACTGCAGTTAATCACATTGAAATTGCATGTTTAAAATGTCATAATTTTAAAATTCAAAACACTTCCAACTGACAATCTCAAGCAAATTCTTGCCAGAGTCTTGATTTTAGGTTCAAATAAATCCCAATTGCATGTACTTATAATCTTGACCTTTTGACTAATTATCTAAATAAATATTGCACTGCTTCACCGATGTGGTCAAAACCATGACTTGGAGGTAGAAACCAGCTTCAAAGGGCTAATTTTGTGAAATACAGAGTGAGCATTTCCACATTGCTGACTTGCCTAAACAGCTCTCTGCCTGCTGAGGTGACATTTAAATACCGTGTCACATTATAACTAAGGGGTAATGTACAATTCAAACAGCAGTGGTGTTGTTATTTTTCCATGCATTGACATTAACACTTTCAGCCTGAAGTGACCTTCCACCAAATGTGAAACAAAGAAACAATAACAAAGAAAAAGGAGGTGAATGTGAAACGTGTGGTTTGAAGTGACTATATGTTCTTTTTTTTTTTTTTTTTTTTTTTTTTCAGGTAATACCACTTGCATAGAAACAAGACAATCACTCCATGTTCTTCAAAGAATAAAAAAAGAAAAACAATCATGATGTGCCTTTAATTTGAAAAATATGTAATTAAGTGACCTCCAGTAGCCCCAAACATCACTCTGGGTAGGGGAGCTCCTACTTCATCTGTTTTGTGGAAGTCCGATCACAATCAGAGGTATTGTTTGGTACAGACTGTCACACCCTCTTGAGACCAATCACTGCTGCAGGAAATATTTTTCAGCAAAGTTACTACAGTGACGGATGAATAAGCTGCAGAAAAATGAGCTTAAATGTTTCTGCTGTACTGCACTATTCAAAGTCGCTCTTGCGTGTACGAAAAAAAGAAGAAGGGTAAAATATTTACTGGTCTACTGCCCTTGAAAGCGTAACAATCACATTACTGTTGTCTTTGTTAAGTTTATTGCTGCACTCAATCTCTGACTAAACTGTTTTATGAGTTTTTTCCTGTTTTTTTTTAATTGAAAGTTAAGTGGCTGTATAGATCATCAAACTTACCCTTCATTTACACTTGTCTGCCAGTTAAAAAGCACACACACACACACACACACACACACACACACGTATTCACACACATGCATAAACATAAGTCAACATCCAAGTGGTTCTGTGGAAACCTTCTTCAGGCTGCTAACTGGGAAGTAATTTGTTACATATAAATGTCAAGCTGAAAAAGAGAGTGTAATGACGGTCATTATTTGACTGAGGTCGCTGATCTAAAGCAGAAAAAGTATTAAGGAAGTGGTATGAGTCATCCAAAGCTCCGCCCAACAGTATGATAAAGCCATCGAAGAGGAAGTCACAGTCAGACACTCTCTAACGCAGGGACTAAACACCATGGTAAGAGCTCTTCAATTATTTTCCTTTACTTTGTTTATATCTGAAGACATTTTGATTTACTGCTGTGGATACAGATATTTCAAAAGTTAGTTGTCTCTCATGCATGAACATAGTTGTTATGCATAAAAGTAGCCAAAATGCTTAGGTGCAGCAGCATGTGAACAAGGTGTGTTAATATTTGTGCGCTCATAGCTTTTCAAAACCACAACCTCCACGGGAAGAGTGGGGTTTCTGATATCGCTTTTATCAGCAGATAAGAGTATAATAAGATAAAGCAGAAGAAAACCTCTCAATCAGATTAAGTCTATTTTAGTATGTGGAAAAATGAGCGCCTAAATCATAAGACTGTTTACTTATGACTCAAAACACAAAGAAAGAGATGACAGAGATTTGTGTTATCAATAAAATCACTGCTAAATCTGGATTCTAGTTTCACTCATCATACTGTGAAGTAATATTCCCAGAATGTGATAACAGAAACAGTTCTTCCGTACAAAACTCACTTTGAGATCCAAATAAAATCCCATTCTTGAAATGCAGAATGAATGGTGCTGTGGATCTGTCACATTAACAGCAAAACAGCCTTTTTCTACCTCTTTAAAATCAGCTTCACCCTCAAAAAGTCTTTACAATCTTTTCAACACTTCGCAGTGTTCACACATCAAAGGTAACTCGTACTAACTCTGCTTCTTTTACTAAGTGAGAAGGAGAAGAGTTTATTTTAACACCAAAACTTGACCTCATGCATGCGTTGGATTCTCCGAAATATGTTGTGACATGACACAGTGTGGGGATTCCCACTCTGACATACAGTATGTCAGAGTGACTATTTGATCATCTGATGACCCCTATTAATAGTAGTAGCACGCTTGCTTTTGTAAATTGTGGTATTGTCAGTTAAGGCATGCGGGTTTCATTATGATTACCACATACATAAGTAAATCATCATTAAATACATAGAAACACATCAACTAAAGAGCTCTAGCACCAAGGAGTGGTCTCTTATTCAGTTCATTTGAAAAACAAAAAAACAAACTAGGAATCCTTTGATAACAGTACAAAATAACTTATAAGCTGTAGCTTTTAAAATGGCCAAATACATATCTCAATAACTCAAACACAATAACACAGATAATTATACCAGCTGCTGGTGTTTCATACACAGAGTCAAAGAAATAAGAGCTTAATCTAACATATACTATACGGGGTAGTATTTGTCTTGGTTTATAAAGAGATTTTAATCTAAATGCTATCAGTAGAACCATCATGATCCATCTGGTGTCAGTTTCCTAAAAACTAGCACTCCTGATATTCTATGACCCATGGGAGTTTCCTCAGATGTAGTTTCTGTTAATCAGAGAAACTATTGCTATGAGTCCAAGTATGCCCTGTGTGCAAAGTTGTTTCTCTGGAAATTCCCATTTTAAAAGTTTTAAAATCAACTTCGTTTACTGCTAATTTCTTTTCAGAGCAATGTTTCAGTATTTTAAAGGAAAGCCGTCAATGCTATTTAGAAACTGTGTATGAGCAATATGAAACTAGGAGCCCAAAGAGACCATGGATTGAGAGATATTTCCAGTTTCACAAAGGGTTCACTGCTCCTTTCCCCTTTTTGATCCAGCCACACAAATGTCCCTTCAGAGGATCATGTACACACTGTTTTTCATTTAGGGAATTACCCAAGATTTGGGCTGTAGCAAATACAAACTTTTCACTTAAACACAGAAATAAGAACTACCTGTAACCAATAACACTCACCATTTCATTTCTCTTGATTAGAAAGATTAGAAATTAGAAAGGAAGACATATTCCCTCCTTCACGGGCGTGTCAGCTGAAACAGGCTCACTCAGACTGGGACTTTCCAATGACCATAGAAAACACCTCTACTTGGGTTCTTTCAGGAAGTACGACCCAGACTTTATGGATAAGATATGTTATTGTTTGTGCTCTCAAAAGAAGGGAGGAGTGTGTGCTTTATTAGCAAAAATCAGCGACAACATCTGTGCTGTGACAAATTAGAAGGGATTTCCTCATCACAGGGCATCTGGTTCATTCTACAAATTCCATTTGGCATCATGTGTCAGTGGACTAGTGTAAGACACATTATATTAAGTAGAAAGGTGTTGTAAGACATAGGCCTGACTACACCCATCTTTTTGGATTCTGGTGTTTTTTAAAATTCAGTCCAGGGGTGAGCTCTCTTAGTATTTATTTATTTATTTATTTTTGAGTCCTAATGTTCCATGACAGGTCATTCAGGTTCCCTGAGCAGTCTCAGCTGACTGTCTATTAGAGTAAACAAAAATTCAGGAGTGATCATGGTTGTGTAGTGAGCCCCAGTTTTTGCCCTTTGCCTGCTCTTATCTGTGGTTTAACTGAAGAAATATCCTATGCATTAGTTCTTGTACTTCATCTTGATATTTGTGTGCCATTAACATGATTTTCTGGTTATCCTTCATATTTTTGCACATGTTTGTAAAGCACTCTTCCAAACTCACAGTGTCTAGATGAACCGGACCTAAACTGACTTTTTTTGTGTTGTCAACAGGTACCTCTCTGTAACCCAAGGGACTTTCTGTGAGTACCTCTGAATCTTTTTTTTTTTTTTTTTTTCAAATGGTGTCAGCAGTTTACACAGCAATGCCTGTTAACTTTATTGAGTATGACCTCATCATTGAAGAACTCGTGAGCATTTACTTGTTGGGTTGGGGTGAGAAAGAGAGGCATAGAGACTTTCAGATTCATACACTCTCAGCATTCCTACTGTAAGTTAGCCAACACTAAGCTGAAAACTCACTGATTTAGTGCACATTATGGATCCAAAAAGGTTGTAAAATGTCACTTAAGTGCTCATACAGTTGAACAGTGTGGGTTTGGGGTAAATATAGAGACTGTACAGAAATATCTTTCAGTGTAAACTTTTTTTAGTATGCCATTACCTTGAAAAGAGGTAGGAAGAGCTTGTTCAGATGATAATAAAAAAAATAGAGCACATACGTACAGAAGCTGTGAACTCCCACGCTCACTGGGCACAAGGCCAGGAAGATTTAATTTTGCTTTTGTCTTTCAGGTTCCCTGCGCAGTCTCGGCGGACTGACAACAAGCTTTTCTTTGGACTACTGGGTGTGGTTTTGCTATTGCACTCTTCTGTCATTGGTAAGTATGTCAGCGTTATCATTGCATCAACACACCTTTGCTTTGTTTCAACTGAAACTATTTGTTAATCTTCAAGAATAATGGCAAATAAATGGCACAAACACAACTAAATAAATATCATTTACTCACAAATGTTGAGAGCAGTTCACTGATTAGAATGCAAAGTTAATCTCAGAAAGCTGCAACCTCAAGTGTGCTTTTAATCCCTTATTCTTTGTTGTTCTTACCCCTTATACCCATGTCTTCTAGTGTTTTGCTAATAAAACCAGATCTTTGCCGGAGGCTTTTATATATATGATACAGAAGTTACAATAGAATCAGTCTTGGAATCAATCTTTTGATGGTGGCTGTTTACAAAGTCTGAGCTCAAGACATGGAGCATTTACTTAAGAGTTGGTAGACAATCATAACTGACAAAAGCCTATTCAAGGGACCAAAACTTCTAATCACTTACAGTTAGAATTAAAAGTAAAAAAACAATGCAGTGACTAATTTGGTACTTTGACCTCTCAGAGTATAACCAGTGTTTCGTAACCATTGATTACTAAACAAGAGAGGTCCTTTAGTAGTCATGTATACTACGCAATAAAGAAAGTAAAAATAGACCTCAGCAGGAACTGAGAAAAGCCCTCTGCGTCATAGCTCTGTGTCACAGCTTTCTGCGTTTAAGGAGGGGTAGCTCTGTGTTAGAGTCAACTTCTCGTTATCCAAAGATCTTTAGTTGTATCCCAGGTCCTGCTGTCCATATGCCCAGTTCTTCTGGGGCACCACACTTAACTCTAAACTTCAACCTAGTGGTGTCTAAATGGGACTGATTGACACTAGTGGATGCTTACAAAGGGTGTGGTGTGAAAGGGTGAATGTGATATAAAATGTAAAAGTGCTTTGAGTAGCCAGGAGACTGGAGAAAGCTTTCTATAAAACACAGTCCATTTACCCTTTACATAACTTTGACCTCAATCAAATAAATATAGTGCCTGGCTGATTTAGCTATCAACTAATAAGTTCTCATCAATTCTGGGTTAAAAAAAAATTGTGTATTGTTTTATTTCTTAACTTTAACTTACCCAAAATATTCAAATTACAGGTCTTGATGTTCATTATTCAACTTAGGTTTCAAATGTTTCTGATTGTGCACTAATCAGATCTCAATGTCTCTGATTCATCACTCCTCACAGATAATTCTATCTTTTATGAATGCTCAGTTTCTTTACCTCTACTGTTTTCCTGTCTCTTTAGGAGCCACTGACCCTATTCAGCTCAAAGGAGAGGTTGGAGGAGAAGTGGCCTTTCGCTGCCCAATCAAAAAGCAGCAGTTTACATTTCTGTATTTGCAGAAAGGCCTGTCTGTGGTGAATGGTGTCTTTGCAAAAGAAAAACTCAAACCGGAGTTAATATGGAACAACACATGGCTGGATAAGGACATGATTGTGCATCTGCACAGTGTGAATGTTTCACATGAAGGGGACTATGACTGCCTTGTCTCTTACAGTAAAGACACTGAGCCTGATAAGACTGTCATACACCTTAGTGTCACAGGTATGAGCATCACACAGACAGTAAATACATTTGACTTACATTTGAACATATTCTGTTTGAATGCTTAAGTTTAAGGGTATAAAAAAATCACGTCTCCTTGAGTCATGATGTTGTAATCATATTTATAACGCACATCTGGTTTTGTTGGTGAATTAGTTGTCCACACTGGAAGTGGTGCAAATGAAATTGGTCAGATTAGGGTGGTAGGATGACTAAACACATGTTTATGTCATAACTTGTAAAGATGATATGATAGAAATCCTGCTTTTATAATCTGAAGAAGTTAGCAGTCAGATATCATCAAGAGGTATTTGTAAACACACTTTTGGAATAAGTTTGAACTCTGTGCTGCTTTCACAAATCAGGGTTATAAATATGGTCTGTGACTGGGGCAGTACTGCTACAGGCTAATTGTGGATAATTGTGGGTAATTTAAGGTAGAAGCCCGTCACATGGACTCTCTATTTAACAGGGCTACTTTTAGGAACGTTGACAATCTGGAGATTTCTCTAAAAGTCTCCCCCCCCACCTTATCTTCTCTCTCTCGTCTAGCAAACTTCAGCCAGCCTGAAGTCACAGTGCTCCATAACAACAGCATCCAATGGGTTGTGACATGTTCCTCTTACGGTGGCTACCCAGCCTCTAAGATAAGCTGGAATGCAAGCAGGATGGAAATGCTAAAAGTTAACAACAGTGAAGAGACTGATCCGGTAACTAAGACATACAACAGCTCAAGTACTGCTGTCTTTAACTGCTCCATGGGAGAGGTGACATACACCTGCTCTATGGGGGACATGACCTCGCCCTTGTCCGTTGCCTGTGAGTACCAAGCCTTTATAGTCCTATCCTTTTGGTTTCAACATCAAAGTTGACTAAAAAATGTAAGGGCAAGTTTAAGGAAGTGGGAAAGGTGTGAAATCCCTCCGTATAAATCACCTTTTTTGTCTGCTGTTTGGGAAATGAGAGAGGGAATTTTTGATATCTTTTTCCTTCCCGTACAAGATCTGTTTTGTTGTTTGACTTTCTCAGCAAGTGTAACATGTGTGTTTATTCAGTCAGTGACAATAAGCTTTGAAAAGGCAACTGATCGGTGCGCAAAAACTCAAAAGAAAGTTACTCATTCATTCAGTATATGTATATTTGTAAGTTAAAAACTGCCCTTTAGCATGAGGTGTAAAATACAGCTTCCTTGTTTGGAATATCATTGGTTTGCTGGTATTTAGCCATAAAGAAAACCAATAGAAAAGAGTTCAGTTTTATCCACAGTTCTGTGGCGATTCACACACTACAAAACAGTGCTTATTGGCCCACCTGTATGCCCAACTTATGGTTAGTAATTTAAACTTTAAGTACTTTGGCAAGTTTTTTACATATATTAAGAACTCTCAGATGGCTCAATTGAGGAGATGAAAGAAATACGTATAATTCAAATGAAGTGGGCCATTCAAAAGGGCAAAGGTGGTGCTGTTTTGAACAACGGCAGCAGCAGGAAGTAAGAAGTCATTGTGGTGGCTGAACTGCGGAGCGCTGACACAAGTGAAAGAACACACAATTTATGAACAAGTTATATTTGTTTTGGGTTTCATAAACTCTAACAACCCTACTTTTGGTCTAAACAGTCAAATTAACTTAACTTCTAAACATAGATAGTGATTTAAGTGACATAATGGAATTTAACATGGTTAATAAAACCAGCAACATAAGCAAGATTGCAGAAAGAGGAAGGGAAAGTAGAAGTGTTGGATACTATCACATATAAAAATATGACTATGATACAATAGTATAACACAGTTTATTTTTTAACATGGTTGATATCTCTCCAAAGGTACACCCGGGGAACCTCCATTCAACTATTCTATTGTAATAGCAGCAGCTGCTGTCTGTGCAGTTTTGTTCATCATAGCAGTAGCGTGCTGCTGCTGGCTGAAATTCAAGAAAAGAGGTGAGGGTAAAAAAAAATGTTCCTGCACATGCTTGCTCATTTTACTTTGGAAATGCATGGATTATAGCTTGTATGATAACTTTGACTGTTGGTTTCTAACAGCACGACGACCAACTCAAGATGTGATACAAAACCAGGCGGATGGAAACGCAGAGAAAGAGTAGGTGGAAATTTCATTCTCACACTTTATTTTAAGTTTAAAAGGTCACACTAAGTTCATGAAACAGCACTGTTATGAATTGCTGTAAAGTACCACCAGCTCATCCTGGACCAAGTTTATGGCTCACATTTTTAACAATCTGCACAACCTTGCGGTGACTGACCTCATCTCTCCTTTCTCTTTGTTTGTTTTTTTATATCATTATTTTCCAGGCAGCAGATCGCCCTGGTGGAAGGACCCTGAAATCTGAATGAACAGAGGAGATGATCCAATTTCTTTGTTCTAGAATCTAGGACTGAACTGTGCGTCACTCGAATGTACATTACATGTGTGAGTGACGACTTAGAAGCTGGAACTGACCAGTGACCAGAGGCCACGGGTTGTAAGGATTTCCCTGACATTTATGAATGTATGAGGAAGTATTTATAAATAATATCTGTCACTGTTGAGGTACTTTAGCTGTTTCTTAGAAAAACCTGTACTTCCCAAGACAAAGACTAGTTGCACCAGTTTGTGCTGGAATTGATTCTCTAGACTGGAAATGAGCCCCTCTGGGAAACTTTCTTTGGCTGCTCGATCAGTGAAGACAAAAACATTAAGTACTGTGTCTGAAACAGATTTCAATGATGAACTGACCTCGATGCATAGCAAATGGATCTGTTACACTTTCTGTGTCATTTTGCACTGTGCTTCAATATTTTAAAATGTAGTTCATTGTTTTAGCACTTTTTTTTACTTTTCTACTTCTTTGTTCTATTAATATTATGATACATGAGTCATTGTTAGTTGAAAATAACTGATATGTTACTGTAGATCCCCTGTTAGGTTCAAGATTTTTCTCTTACATTGTGTACTGTATCAGTATCAGAAGCTGTGAAAAATGTAAGTAGCCCATACTGTACAGTAACGCTGCTAAATGTTTTGAATTCTCTGCATTATTATGCTCTTCCCCTTCAATGTTGTAAATGCAATATCAACATTGTTCTGCACTTGTTTTGTGTAATATAAAGTTTAAAAGGGATAGGTTTATCTACTTGAATTACGTGACGAGTACCTTTCTGCCTTGTGTTATCTCCTTTGCATTGGCTTTGTTTCTTCTGGTTATTGTTCTCATGTGAAAACAATCCTATTTGTAATGTGTTACGACAAACTTTATTTATGTCATTTTTTTTTTAATTACCATTTTTCTGTACCAGAACTAATAGTGTTAACTGTAACTCTTCTACAACAAGTTAAGGAGACCTCAATCATACCTCTTTAAAATTGCTAAACAATCCCAAAGAGCTGTTTTCCTGACTCAAACTGTACAAAACACTTTCTACTGTTTCTGCTCTCTTTTGTATGTTTGTTATTTATCATAATCTGACGGTAGCTACATCTCTTGGAAATTGGCTTGGAATCCAAGGAGGGATGCACTGGAAGCTGAATTGGTAGCTGGAGAGATGCCGGGTCATCTTCTTGAAATTGCCAAGGTGCCCTGCTTAAGGTGCTTCTGTATGCAGACTCCTCGCCCTGACGCCTCTCTATCAGTGATATAACAAATACTCACTTTGTCAAACGGCGAGAAAAAAAACTGAATTTCTACTTTGGGGTATAACGTTTTCTCTGTCTCTCTCATGTTGAAGTGTCTTACCAATTAAAGTTGTTTAACTGAACTTGTGTGTTCCATTGTGGGAATGTAAACACTTAAACTTACATTAGTAAGTAGAGTTTACAATCCGAACACCTACAATAAAATGTTTTACACAATTTTCAATCTCCAACACTGTGGCTATATTTAACAAGAGCTGAAACTACTTTAGTGTAACATCACAATGTTGTTTACTTGCAATACTAATGCATAACCACTAGGTGTAGCACTAACACCACAGAGTGCAGAGGAATCTCTTGCCAAAGCTGACTGGTGTATCTCAGGGTTGTAAATAGAGTGTGCCTCTTTCTAGTCTCATATACACAGATGGCAGAGGAGGCTATAAGTGCCAGTCATTATTAACCAATGATGCACATTCATTAGTTTACCTCTGGAGTTTGTAATTTGGATTCAAGTCTTGCACAAAGACACTTCAGCAACTGACTGTAAGACCTGGGGTTGAACTGCCAACTCTCTGATTTAGAGACATCAGTTTAACCACGGAGCTACAGCTGCCCCTCGATTTTGTGTGAGCCATCAGGTAATTACTTGGAATCATTACATCAAACCCAGTCACATTTTGGCAAGCAAACCAACCCTCCTCTGTCCACCAAGAGATGAAGAAATTGTGCGTCTACATTTAACACAGGATGACTTATTAAAGCAATTCTTTTAAATGGGGACATTAATGTATGTCTGACCTCAGTGTGTGGTAACCTGCCAGCTGAAAGAGCAGCACCGGTTTCTTGAAGTGGAAAGACTGTAGACTTAATATGAAGTCCAAAATAAGAGATATTGTTAATTTTATTTTTTCTGTCTTCTGTGTCAACAATTCTATCACAATCCATCTTTATCCTCTCTTTTTTGTGTATCTCTCCTGATCCAATCCACTTCCACCTCTTTCCCGCAGTCACTCTCTCCACCTCCACTCCTCTTTCTCGCTTGCTTTCTCCCTGTCTCATGAGTCACTGTGACAGGCTGTCAGTCCACCTCTCTGCCCCGTGTTTACATTGGGCAGCAGAGCAGCGCCAGGCTGGTTGCACTTCAGGAATGTAACCCCCAAGGTCCCTGCCCTCCTCCTCCTCCTCCTCCATCTCCTCCTCTTTTACCCTCTATCCTCTCTTTTCATGCCCATCTTCAAATCTTTTATACCATTACCGGCGTTAATACCACCCCTTTTTATTACTTCCCTTCTGTTACCTTATTTATCGCTTTTATTTTTTCCCTCCTTTCCCCTTCCTTCCGCTCATCCTGACACCTTTTCCTCCTTTTCTCTTGTCCTTTCCCCCATCTTCTCCCTCCCCTTAAAATGTAGAAAGCTTTGTCCAACTCACTCGCACCCCCTCAACTCTCCTGTCATCATCACCCCAACCTCCCACTTTTCCCCATCTCTCTCCATCCGCCCTCCCTCATTCCTCTGCTGCCTAACCCAAACAAACCAGGGAGGACTTTCCTCTGTGGTGGCTGCAGGAGAAACACACCACATGTCTGACTTGGTTTAAAGATAAACATTAGTCAATTTGAGGGACTGGAAAAGGATATGAGGCGCTTAACTTCAATATGAGATAGAGCTACTATCTGGAAATCTTAATGCTCAATCTTACCACTGAATATACAGAAATCAGAGTCAGAGCGATGTACTTTGGATTAATATTTAAAAATAGATGTTTGCATTGATAGAGCAAACTGTCTTCTATTTATTGTGACTGAGTTTTATTTCACAATTTCATTACAAAACAGACTTCAGCATTTCTTGGACAAATCAGGCCTCCGGGCAAATAAAGCAGGTCTTATAATTATGAGGCAACCTTGCAGACCATTCAGTTTTTCCAGTGACTCAGCAGAGTGTGTAATCTCCTCTCAAATGGGGAACCTTTTCAGTCAGAACACGGTCCTGTGGCATTTCAGCGAGAAGCGTGTGACCCCTGCCACACTGTTTTTAATCAGATTAAACTAGTTATGAAAGTCAACTAGATTAGAGTTAGTGCAGGGGAGCTGGAGCACAAGGCAACGATTCACAGTAGAAAGGAGAGGTGATCAGCATGAGGGAGATCAGGCTGTTAGTGTTCTTAAAATAACAGCGGGCAGTTCTCGGATTCTGGATAAGTCACTCTTATTTTGCTCTGGCGTACATATTCTCATTCATGTATGCAAATTTGTTACTAAAGGGTATACATAATACATTTATGTATACAAACCATGTGCAATTTTAGATTAGAATTTTAGGCTATGGACATTGTGCAATTCAATTCAATCTTGTACCGCGTCACTTAAAGAAGCTGTCCTGTAGCAAATGGCACTTTAAATACCTTTAGCACATGACACTCTGATTAGCACTTTAGCTTTAGCTTTAACTTTACAATTCTCCTTTAATCTTTTTGGTCCCCTTACTATTGGCCACTTAGTTTTTGGTCTGTGTACGTTGTTTATGTATATTATGTGTATGTTGTCAGTGCATTGTTCTACTGTCTTAGTCATGTTGTTTGTACTTTTAACATTATTGCTTTTAAGTTTAAAATCAACCTGCCAATGGGACTGGGGATAGAAATTAGCCATCTGGCTTTAATCCCACATATTTACACGTAAATGTTCATCAATATGTACTGTCCCCAGTTTTAAAAATAAACAAATAGAAAAAATGTGTATGCACGTGATTGTGTGAGCTTTGCACTACAATTACGTCAAAGAAGAAAAATGCAGAGCAATCAAAATGACCAAAACATTTTGTTTTTTTAAAAAAAGAGTCCTAAAATTCCATTAATTTCTAATGGTTTTTACATGATTCCGTCCTTTGCCAAAGATGTTGACGTTTTGCTTTAGTCTTTGAATGACCAACACTAAACGGAGGACAGATTATAGAACATCACCTATTTGTTTACACAATTCCTTTATGTGCTAACTGAATATTTAGTTACGTTAGTTTTAGTGTATTTATTATAAATTCATGTTTCTATTCAGAATGTGGTTTATAAAAATAAGTTTGAACTTGCTTAGTGATCTGCAGGTTTTCATTTCTTTGCTGCAGCTGTTCCACAGATTAACTCCTTTGACTGATATAAAGTGCATTTTTGTGTTTGTACATACAGGTTGTTTTTTAAAAATGCATATTCCCTTGAGATTATGTTTGTTTTCTCTTATTTGAAACAACTTTTGGATGCCCTGTGGTAACTGATTCTGATTTGCTTTGTACATGATCTGAATTGTTTTGAGGTCGACCAAATCCTTGAACTTTAGTGCCTTCAGTTTGATGAAGAGTGGGTTTTATGGTTCTCTATAGGTACTTTTATATACTATTTTTATAACTCTTTTTTGGAGTTTAACATATCAATATATTTTTTGACACATCATTCATTTGCAGCAGCAGAAATATTGGTTACTTAAATAGATCGGTTGTCTTTCCCCCCTCTATTCAAGATGGGTCCTACTCTTGTGTTTTACATATCATTTGTGTGCGACCTTTCTGTGTTAATGTTAATATATGCAGCTACTATTTGAAGATGTTTCAGCCCAAAGACCCACAATAAGTCTGATGGAGCAGAGACAGTGAGGGAGCGATCAGGTCAGGAGGTTCAGCCCTGGTGCTTCAGCTGAGTGATCATGTTGTTGCTGTCACTGCAGAAAGCCTCTCCCTGAACCCCAGAGACAGGAGAGCTGACCTGGAAGCATTTATCACCTCAGTGCTTTCTGACCTATAACCTCCAGGTCTTAGATAGGGGAGAGATGTGCTAGAGGGGAAAATAGAGAAAATAGAAGTTTCAACACAATGGAGGAGAATTTCTGTATTATCTGTGGGAAATTACTCCGGTTGTTTTCTTTCTGTTTCCCAAATTTCTACTTGTAGGTTTATGAAACTGTTGGGAACCTCTGCGGGCTTTTTGGATGTGCATTAGTAAAAACATTTCTCTTGGTCTGAAGATAAAAACTTTTCCATTTTGTTTGTGTGGTCCTGATTTTATTGAGCTGAAAACCATCAGTGAAGACTTGAAAGGGCAGGAAAAAAAAGTTGGTAGAGATGGATGTTTGCTGGCCCAGAGCCCAATAGAACTATTAACACCTCTGTGTAACGCTGATACACCAAAGGCGTTCTTGGCTGAGGCCTTTTCATCCAGGCTTTGACCTGGTATCTAAAGCTGTGTGTGAGTGTCAGCGTGTGCAAGTGGATGAGTGAAATCTGAGCGGCCATTTACTAGAGTCACATCTCCTCTGAATATTTATAGAACTGCTTAAGACGTGACCTTTTCTTTGGCACAGTTACACAGAAACACTTGAAGCATATCCATTTTAAGACGGTCTGACACTTGAACTGATGATTTTAAGGTTTATTCAAAATCCCTCCAAAATACAACATAACAGCTGGTTACAAAACTCACTTTGTGCCTCTTCAGGGAGCGCTAAGACAAGAACATGTTTACCTCTTTAGCTTTTATTGTGTTACTTCTGTTCACCAACATAAACTGAACTTTTTCTTATGATTGTTTTAAAAACAAAACCCTTAAAAAATTAGACTCAGTCCAAAAAGTTGGAGAATAGACCTGAGTTAATTCATTGGGCAAAAAAGCATTATAAGTACCAGGTGTTTTATTACATGTCCACTAGAAGTACTTCCTTATTAAGTGGGTTATTTACAAAACACAGGCCTCCATCAATCTATGTATCTGCCTGTCTTTCTTCAAGATATCTATCTTCAGATCTACATCTATGAGTCTACAATTCATCTATCCATCCTTGCATTCATCTGCTGTTTAAATCCATAGATCTGCCTATTTATCCTCCCATTCATCCATGTAGCATCTATGTATCCAAGTATCTATCTATCTGTCCATATCTAACGTCAAAGACGGCCCAAGGCATAAGCGAACTAAGCGCCTGCTCAGGGCCCTGAGGCCAGTAGGGGGCCCCCAAGAGCAATCCAAAAAAAAAAAAGTAATTTTTTAAAAATTTTTGCATGTTTGAGAGATGCTTTCTGTATGATCAAATATATATGATATGTCAAAGCTATGCTACCATTACGTGCCTCCTGCTGTGCAAATGTGCAATGGGCATCCAAAGCGCAGGGAGTTGTGGGGCAAAACAATGTCGCAAAAAGGGACGTATCCTTCAGGAGCAGAGAAAAGAAAGAGGAAAAAAATGCCAAGATAAAGGTATGTTTGCATGTCATTGAATATTAATCAAAGAGATTTGTGAAGGTGTGTGAATGATCAACAATCAATATTATTGGCAGAAATAGTGCGCCCCAAAATCAAATTTTGCTTAGGGCCCCATTGAGGCTTGGGTTGGCTCTGTCAAACAAACATATACATAGTTAAAATTATAAATACAATTAAAGACACAGCTGTGAACACCTAACAACTACAATTGTCTTTTTTTTTTTTTTTACAGTGTCTAGAAATTGAAATACACAGGGGTAGATTGTGAGTCGAAACCCTCCCTTGCTCACCCCTCTTGTCCCCTCTTACCAAGTCCTATCTGCCAATCCCTACACCTTTAAAATAATGCACTCACTAATGTATCTAAGTTTCTGTTATTACAGTAAACATTGTTGTGCTGCCTGAAACACTCAGACAGGTGATCAGTCTGGAGCTGACTGTCCTCTTTCAAGATTGTATGAGCGAAGCTGATGAGTAGAGCAGAGGCCAGAGTGAGGGTTTGGTGGGTTTGATGCCCAGTTGGCTGCAGATGGCTGGCAGCCTCAAGTTTCTACAGAGGCATCAAAGCCTATCAAAGTATGTATGTGTGTGTGTGTGTGTGTGTGCGTGCGTGCGTGCGTGCGTGCGTGCGTGCGTGCGTGCGTGCGTGCGTGCGTGCGTGCGTGCGTGCGTGTGTGTTATGTGTGTTGGGAAAGACTGTAAATGACATCATACTATAACAAGATGTTTGTTCCTTGCTTTAACATTGCATGTCTTGTTCAGTGAAGAACTTTCCCACTGTGTGATAGCCAAGGGTGGATGTTTTCGTTTTACAGCCCTCACTACTGTGAAGATTCCTGCACTAATTCAGTTTATGGTGACGTTTTCTTCTGAAGTGCAAACAACTGCAGAGCTATAAACTGAGGAATTTTTTGTTGCCTTGTGCACACAAGTTAGAAACCAGCTCAAATTAAAGAAATGGTACAATTTATTCGGGCAGGACAGTGGAGGACCATGAGTAAACGCTCGCTGATTTATCTTTCAGTGCGTTTGAACTTAAATCATTAAGTGTCATCTCATCAATTTATATATTTATATATTTTTTGGAATTTATTTATTAGGTTTTTTACAATTGAAAATGTTACAGCATATATACAGAAATGCAAGAACAAACATATTTTTTTGTTTTTCCCTCTTCAACCCCCCAGCCCAGGGGACAAGCAAAATAAATTAAAAAATAAATTAATTAATATTAAATCAAATGCAAAATTAAATAAAATAAATACATTTAAAAAAAAGTAAAAATAAAAAAATATGCGGTGAGTATTTTCAGTAAAAATAATTCAATTTTTACTCACAAAAAAAAAAAAAAAAAAATGTACCCGCTCACTTGACTATGTACCCAATAGAGAATACTGTGAATGTATTTGTTATGACACTGAATGATAACCTGGTTTGTTTGTGTGTGTTTTGAGTGTTTGTCGACACATAGTCGATATCATTTCTGGCAATGACTTTTGCAAGCAGCTGTGCAACATTTCTACATGCATAAGTATCTGTTCTGCATGTCAGCTGCTGAAAGTGGAGAAAGGCACGGAGGATGGATGTAAATACATAAAGGCGTCTGTGAGTGTGTGCCGGGACTAGGACCCGATGATGACAGCGACTTATGGAACTGAAACTGAGGAGGGATGTGAAGAAAAATGGCTGACATGCTGTGCAAGTCGCGGATACTTGACACCAACAGGTCCGTACAGCAACCTTCACTTAAATTTATCTCTACACCCAGATGTGTTGAGGGATTCAAGGAGGGACACCCTGCATGTAACCTAATGTGGCAGGAATACATTATTTAAATAAGTTTATATAGCAAGCTTTTTCAAACATATTTTCAACTTTTATTCATCAGAACCAAGATTTTGGCACCAGGTTTGCATTTGTAAAAGTCTGACTGCGTAAATAAAGGTGTGTATGTGTGTATTTCTGTGTGACAAGAGACACCTGAGACGGTTAGAAGGTCATTCCAGGAGTCTGGTCGTGTAGCTTTGATCATTTTCTCGTCGCCTCAGAAATAGACCACAGAGGATGGGTTGGGCACAACGTTCCCCTCTCTTTGAGTGTGTGTCTGAGTGAGGGAGAGACCTAGGCAGAGTGCTGGCAAAGCAAACTGACAGGGAATCCACTATTGTTTGAAGTGCACAAGCCTGTGTTTGCATGACTGCACCGCTGCAATGGCATCGGTACCATTGTTTGCCACTGCTGGCATTAGCTGTGTGAACGTGGTCATACACATGTATGCAAATGCATGGGTGAGACAGTGTGGATGTGTGCAGTCACGCAGCATTTCAACCATGATCATATCTTTGAAGCCGGGTGAGCAGATATCCTCATCGAGTCTAAGAAAGCAAAGATCAGAATGACAAAAATATTTACAACTCTTTCTTTAGTTACATTATGCAAACATCATGTTTGTCCTGGGGTGTGTAATAATATCATGGCCCTGCAGGTAATCTAATTTTGAGTTAATCAGACTATAAATGACAACTTTGTTTGCTTCATAGAGCACAGATGCAACATATATATATTGATCAATTTTGTGGCTTTTTAATGGGGTGCAGCATGAGAACAGATTTACAAGCTGCAGGAGTAGATATTAAGGAAAGAGATCCCTTGTTCTGTGTTTAGTCTACTGAATTCAAACTTCAGCAGACCTTGTAGGGCAAGGATTCAGTGCACAGTTGAAGAAGGTCTGAAAGTGTAAACTTAATAAGCCCATAAAGCTGCACAACATGACTGATGGGAAGTGACTCACAATGCACAGCACTAAGCGAGAGGAAACCACCCAGCACGCCAGGCTCGGTTTTGAAGAAAAAAAGGGTCTCTATTTCCGACAAGAAGTAGTTCTTTCAGACAAACAAGTTTTCTGATGACATAAGCTCTTTCGCAACTGAAGGAAAACACTGACAAGTTAAATAACATGCAGTTAAACACCGTATGTTTCAAAGATAGTATCATTGATCATTAAATCAAATATCTACCAAACTTAACATTTGATGCCATACGAAGAACTGGTAAACCTCCAAATGAAAACAGTGATATAGTAAAATCATAAAAGCTCAAAGTCCAATCTTGGGCCATAGTTCAATCAATCAATCAATCAACTTTATTTCTATAGCACATTAAAAAAAACTATGAGGGTAGCCAAAATGCTGTACATTGTGACATAAAAACAAATAAAACAAGCTTGCTGTTTTTTACACGTTACGAGTTTGCTGATATTTTACAGTAAGAGAATATTGCATCACTTTTTTTTTGCTTAAAATAGTTCCCTTATGACCACGCATGTATCATTTTTTATTCCGCTCCAGGCATGTCCAGGCAATGTACTAACCGCAAACATAAATGATCACTTTTTACAGATAAAATTGGAACGCCTTCTCTTCCAGTTACCTACTCTACCAACTTTCCTGACTTCCAGTATCAGTTCTTTTTCATTAGAAAAACAAATCCGCAGAGCAAGATCAGCGAAGAGATTGGAGGTGCTGCTTTGTCTACAGTGGGAACCAAAATCAACATAAACCACAAGTTCCTCACAGACACTTTGAAGCTGTTTCTAATATTTTTCTGCAAAGTGATAAAACAACAGATTTTATCTTAGCTTTGCCATAGTTTAACTCCTTTCAGTGTGAATAACTTTGACTTCACTGCAGTGGAAATGAGGAAACGGCAATGGTGCACATGAGAACACACTCACATTAGACAAATGCCTTTGCTGGTTTTTCGACAAAGGCCCTCAACCAAACATAGTTTTATCAAAGCTAATGTTCACTTCATGGTCTTCTCAGAGAGGTAAATGCTTGTTTGAATAAATGTCCAGAAGAAAAGGAAAAGGAGGATCCATCTCTGAGTCCGTCTTTGCACAAGGACCTTCCAAGGTTGCATTTTAAACCACACAAAGTCCCACAAGCTCCATCAATCCCTCATAAAGGTATTGCAGCATTTATTCCCCTTCAAAACAAAGCAGCACAGAGCACCAGTGGGGATGCAAAGGCATACTTGGCCTGCTTCCAACTGCCCTCCCAACTGCTCCAGAGAGACAAATCTCTGGAAGCAGAATAGAGGTTGTTAAAGGACGTCACCATGGGACGTGGTCGGACTCACCTTCCTGTTTCACAATTCACAAACAGCTGAGAAAGATGTACAATCAGAGACAAATGCACCCAAACATGCAGGCGATCACTCAAGGGCTGGAGGAAAGAAAGCCCTGAACATTGAGCAGAGTTCACACAATCACAAGGGAGGGGGCTTAAATCAAAAGCATATAACATGCAAACGGAGCAGGGGAAACGGGAAGCCCTGAGGATGGGGAGGAAGATTGTGACTGAAAGAGAGAATTTTTATAATGAGAGAGTGGGGAATATCTACAAATTGTATCTTGTATGAATCAGAATTTTATGTTTCCCCCTTTAGAAATAACCGTCCACATCTGTGAGGACGAACATGTCTCTTTCTCAAAAAAGAGCTCCACTCCACTGTTTTGATTCTTTTCAAAGGTCACAGAAGATTAGGGAAATAGAAAATATGAGCTGCATACTTTCACTTCTGCTCTCTGTTTGATTTCCACCAAATCAAACACTGAATGACTCTGAGACCCATGCTCACTATCTACACTATGTTGATAAACGACCCTGTTTAGTGGGGGATTTTCTTTACTGATGTACTTATGATTGGTCTTGTCCTGGACGTACATGGAGTGTTTGGGGATTTTCATTATTATGACTGTGCAAAAGTTCTTCAACAGCTTTTTTTTTACACTCAATAACTTTCTTTAAATGACATTAGCCCAAATCGGAGGTGACATAAAGTTGACAAATCAGAATTCTGACAGGGTGAGTGGGTTGAAAATGGCCACACTGACATACCAGACCAGCAGGGGGCAACAATGTGTAAAAAGTCCTTAAGTAAAAAAAGTCCTTAAATAAGTCTTTAAACTGTGTACAGAGTGTCACATTAGAAACTAAACAGCCTGATATATCTATTCACCCTCACACTGTTGTTTTAATGAAGTAAAGCTGTATTTGTGCTAGAAGCGCCTTACTGGCACATGACATATAATGACGTCAGAGTTTTCCTAACCTTTTTTCTTGCTTTTTACCAATGAATACAAAACGGAGTCTTTAATCTACATCCTGGGAGGTGTTTTCAAAAACCTCTGTTGACCTGGATGTCAGACCAAAATGCAAGGAAAGGGCTATGTTTTCAGAAAATCTTAGTACTGATAGACTGATGTATGTAAAAAGGGGAAAAAATGCTGTAAACGAAACAACATATTGGTCAGGATCCGATATGATTGTAAGATCTCTTTTTTCAGGTTTGTCTTTCATGTCTCAATTTGTTATCCTGCTGTTCTCAACAATCACTCTCTCTTTCTCTCTCTACCATACAAACACATTTGAAGCACCTCTCTGTCCTCAAGGCAATCCCTTCATTGTTGGCTATTGATTCTGTTCTGTCAGACGGTGTAACAATAGAGATGTCCTGACATTTGGATATTGAGATACATCAAATATACATCAAAGGGCCACATCGATTCAGAGACTCAAAGCAAGGGAGAGGCAGGAGAGATAAACAAGTGAGAACCACCTCTTTTTTTTTTTATCATGATCCATATGCAGCGCAGCTCCCGGCAAAACAGCTACTGTGCCTGCAAGAAAATCGAAACTATAACCACAAACACATGCATAATTAACCAGAATAGCATCCCTGAAAACATCCTAGTGTGGAATACTGGCTCTTTGCCATGGTGTGTTTGTTGTGATTTGTTGTCTTGGTATCCTTAAAGCTTTTTTCCAAAAAAAGTCTGTTTTAAGAAAAGTCTAGAAATAGCACAATTCAATGACCTCATGCTTTTATTGTGGGCAAGAGAGGTCTGTGTGGCGACCAGAGGCGTCTCAAGGGTCAGGACTTGCACTGTCTGGCAGTGATAGAGCTAACCAATACACCTTATTAGACAAACAAAACAGGAGTCATTGCTTGTCTATTTGAAGGGTGAGTATGTGTTATATGGCCTGTCACTATTTTAAACTCCATGCAAATCATACCCAGAAGCTTTATAAATCCACAAAATGACTGACTGACTTCTGGGCCAGGAAAAATCGGCTCAAAATACTACAACAGCCAACACACAGTTTTCTTTTTACGTGTTCAAAAATATTTCTGTAGCCTGCCAAATTATATTCATAAGAATAAAAGACTCTGTCCAGAATTTTGATGGAAACCAAAGGTTGTCTTGGTGTTTTGCAAAAACCTCTATTTATACAATTTCTTCAAACCGTAACATTGGAGCATAATGAGAACGTAGCATGACTGTGGACCTGAGCCAAACCACTAAAAAAGCATTGTCGAAAATCAAAAATATACCGTCATCAATAGGAAACCAGACCTGTTTTTTCCCCCTGAATTTGGAAAAGTCATTGTGAGGTTTGTGTGGGACGCTTCTGTGTTTCTAAAAGTCATTACTGAGAATCTAAAGGAGCACGTAGCTGGACAGCAAAACTGACAAAAACCTGATCTGAGAATCCGAATCCTACTGGGTCTTTGAGGTTGTTTTTGGCGGGACTCCTTAATAATGAGGAATAAATTGTCTCTGAGGCATACCCCGTTTGTCAGTCCACCCCCATGTCTATCTGGACTGCCCCCTCACCCCCCTTGCCTACTACAATTACCCCCACCCCCATTTGCTCCCCTGCCTAGGCAACCCCTTTGCCCTCTTGTATCCGGCCATTTAGCGTGACAATCCATTATTTGATGGCTCCCAGAAAAAAAAAGAAAGAGAAAGACAGAGAGACAAAGCGTAAGAGAGACTGAGGTTACTTTGACTTTCAGACATGGACCCTGCTTTTTTCCATCTTCCTCTTTCCTTCTTTTTCCATCCTTTTCCTTCTTCCTCCTCGTATCTACACCTCCTTAACTTTCACCCTTTTTTCTGCTTTCTCTCTATTCCCTGCACTTATTTAAAGTTCTCCCCTTCTCACTTATTTACTCTCTCCATCTCTGCTCCTACCCCCTTCTCTTTTACCTCCCCCTCTCCCTTTACCCTTACCCCTGCAACCACACTGCACCCCTGCGACTTTTTGACTCTGTATTGCTTCATTGCTGGCAGCCCTTAGGAAACCTGATAAGGCCTATAGAAAGAAAGGAGCCGGGGTTTAAAATGTCTGAAGTCGACCCCCTCCAAACAGCCCTCGCTCATACCGACCCTATGCTCTTCCCACCCAAACAATTACAGTTTTCACCTATAAACTCAAACCCCATGTACACACACTTTGCCTGTGCAGCCTTGAGAACTTCATTAAAGAAACATTTCTCTGCTCTCAGCCTCCTGTTTAAAAGAACCTCACAGCCTGCCGAAAAAGGTCTCCCCTTGTTTTTTTTTTACACTACATTAAAATCTAGGTATTTAACTGACTATTCAGGAGTGTACTGGATTGAAATGTTGCATAAAAGGTTGATTTGAAGTGCAAATATCTGGAGAATTGATAAGAACATTGATGTTTTGTACCATTTTTGTAATAGACATTAAAAGTGCCCTAGTTAATTTGGATTAAGAAGTATAGCAGCAGGATAAGTGATGATGAAATGCAAAGGACAAATGTTCTCCATACTTCTCCCCAATAAGACAGACACAAAAAGGTTTTCTCAAACACCCCTTGTGGAGAACGGTGTCAGAAAATGTTCATGGGGACTGTTTCTTCAGCCGACAGTCGTTCCAATGAAAGCAGGTCAAAGGAAGGTCTGTTGATAAATGGCAGTTTAAGAAAATATGTTTTCTGGAAACACATTTGGCTACCGGACTATTTGAATCTGATATTGTGTTGCTATGAGCAGTAAAAACAAAATTCCATTCACTCCATTTACTCGAGATTGCAGCCAGTCATTTCAAAGGTGACATCAAAAACCGCACCATGCATGATCGCAGTGAGGAAATATTTAGGAAATGACACATTATATTTTATATAAACACAGTGACAAATTTGTGTGTGGTAGAACAAAGATGACTGGAAATTAAGACTTACTTTGAGATGATGATGATAAGTGAGGTGATATGTTTTGGAAAGCTGCATAAACAATTCATAACTTATGAGGAAGGGTGTGAATAAATAACTGTGAAGTTCCTCTCTATCAATGATTCAACATGTGGACGCCAAATTTACCTGTTGTCTCCATGCTGACATTATTACAATGAGCAAAAAATTTTAAATTATTCGTCAACACTACTTACTTCATCGTTTGGTTACAGTAAGTCGTGGATAAATCAAAATAATGAATAACACTAATATAAACTACGCTTTAAACTATATGACTGCCTTTGACAAGGAAACAAATTGATGAGTATAACCTCCTAAAAGTCCAAGAAATCTTTTAAAAACTACATGTATTGTTTAAAAAAACATGTATTAAATATTCTCAGTGATATTTTGTGTGATTAAAAGCTCAAAGATTGCTTACAGTCCTATTTTATTCCACTCACATTAGGCAATTTGGATAAATATATAAATCCTTCTTTAAATACATATGAAAAAGTGTGATCTTCTATACTTTTCGGGGTAGACCAGACAGTTACAAATCTATAAGATAAAAACAGGGGTGAGAGATATCAAAATAAAACAGGAAAGACATGACATTGATGTGAGAACATGACTGTGCCAAAAACAAAGGAAACTTAACCGACAGGACAACAAAGTGTAACTGAGATAACAGTTTGGCAGCCTGACAGTCTAAATGCCACCAGACTGTCAAGATTGCTCGACAAAAGCAGCAGGGCAACATGACTCTGGTGAATTTAAAAAAACAAGAGGAAACAGTCAAACTTTAACTTCTGCCAGAGACCGCAAAAGGTGACTTTGGCTCAGGTGGAAGCAGGAGGATTAATGAGTGTAATATGCACAAGTGAATCAGTCAGCATATTTACGTCCACGGACTAATTTGTTTTTTGCGCCAAGTTGGACTTTTCTCCTTGTTCGCATACACATGCAGCTGAGAAAATCGAATTATTGACATGAGCGTATCCTCCTCCCTAAAACTAGGGGGAGATATGGGTCTTTTCAGCATCGCTGTTTCCGGTTGACCCCATACAACTGTCAACAACAACAGCAGGTCCATGCCAGACATCAGAAGTGGCTACAACTGCTGCTGGGCATTTCAGAGCAAGAAGATGAAACATCGTTCAGTGTTGTTTTTGTAATACATGATGTACGCGCTACTTTTTTTGCTTGTGAGGTGCACGCTACTCCTCGTGCTCATGTGATTTTAAGAGGCAGACAAGAACGCTGCATGATGAGGGAGTGCCACTTCTTCTCTGGTGTTTTTGTTCCGGGGGTTATAGGGGCTTGGCGTATGCGCACATGCATTGTCTAATCCAGTGGTTCTCAAGTCCAGTCCTTGAGGCCCCCTGTCCTGCATGTTTTGGATGTTTCTCACACCTGATTCAAATGATCAGCTCGTTAGTAAGCCATTACAGAGCTTGATAACGAGCTGATCATTGGAATCAGGTGTGTTGGAAACATCCAAAACATGCAAGACAGTGGGCCTCGAGGACTGGACTTGAGAACCACTCCCACTATGCTGGTTACATGGTAGAGAAAATCGAATTCCAGTCGCATTATCTGTGTGTCTCAATCTGAGTTCTGCGACCCCAATCGGAGTTCTCAAACTCCGATTTGAGTCGGACTAAGGTGTTCACATGCACTTTAGT